CCAACCAATCTTGAAAAACTGGTCTGTGAGGCAAAGAAGTAAACAAGTATCATGAAATTCTGGACAGTCTTCAAAAAATTTGACATAGTGAATGAATTTAACATTAAAGTATTAATTATCAACTAACCGAGAAGATTGTCATCTAACATAGCTTGTGTGTTAAAATTCAAAGCCACGTCCAGGAATCCCCCTATTGCTCCAGAAACCATAGCCTGCAATCCTATACCAAGGGGTGATGAAAAAGCAGACCTCTACAAGAATGATTGTCTACATATAAAAATATTGTGATGGAGACAACCTTCAAACGAGGCATTGTAACAGTTGGAGGTGCAGCCTTTGCATGATACCCAATTGCCATTCCATTAGCAAGCAGTGATTGAGTATATGGCATAGCTTCCATTAATGCCTTGCTTGGAGGCTTACCATCCTTGCCAAGCACAAGTTCTGCTGGAAGACCATCAATAACCTAAACTGGCATGATTGTAAAGGACAAACCAAATCTTATCCTCTAGATAACATCTTTATCGACTAACACATCAAAGAAACCGCACAGATGTTGACAGAAACAAACTAAATATACCATTAGTATTAGCCGGTCAAATGCAGGGGGCATTCCAGATAGTTCCTGCATTGCCAATAGAACAAGGAATTATGTATGTATGCATGTGTACATACACATATGCAACAACCCTGATATTGCAACATTTAAAGCCCAAACATACTATCTGGAAAAGGATTGCCCTGGAAGTCATTGAATTCCACACAAATTTTGTTGCCACATATATTAACAGTTCCGAAGCTAAATAGTGAAGAATAATTACAAATACCAAAAACCCCCCAGAGCAAGTGTGCATTTAGAGCTAGAAGACTGTCAAACTTCACAAAACTGAACTTCTAAGTAAAAATTCAAAGTTGCCAAACCAAAAGAAGCATGAAGGAAACAAGTACCTTATACAGTGACCTGAGCTGATGAGGATGCAGGTCTCTCTCGGTCTCATTTTGAATCGAATTGCACTTGGGTGCTTGAAAACTCTCCGGACCACTGCCATTGTCAGTGAAATGAACCAACTCAGACCCAAAAAAAAAGTGCTTTGTTTTCTTTTGGTTGTTGATGTTTCAATTTCTATGATCCTTGGTATTATTCTAAGAAACCAGAGTACCTGTGTCCAGGTAGGGTTGGTTTGACGGGGAAGAAGCCGAAGACGAAGATGGAGAGGCCAACCATTTGAATCGCAACTCCAGCTATGGTGAAGAGCGTCAGCTTCGAGCACGTTAGCCATGGCATTTTACGAACCCTAAACCTCTATGCTGAATTAGAACTTCGAATGCTTCCCCGATGATCATATAACGAGAAATTATCAAAGGGAGCAATCAATTATGATACGATCGAAACAAATCCTAAAATTTTGGATCAAATTGGAAGTGGAACCAGAGACACTCTGATGTTATAAGTTTTTTATATTTAAAAATAGTATTTTTTTAGTTAATTTCAGATTAGTGTAGTAACTTGACCTCCAATTACAAACAAATTAAAATTAAATATTTTTTGTTGGGAACTTCGAATGCTTCCCCGATGATCATATAACGAGAAATTATCAAAGGGAGCAATCAATTATGATACGATCGAAACAAATCCTAAAATTTTGGATCAAATTGAAAGTGGAACCAGAGACACTCTGATGTTTTAAGTTTTTTTTATTTAAAAATAGTATTTTTTTTAGTTAATTTCAGATTAGTGTAGTAACTTGACCTCCAATTACAAAAAAATTAAAATTAAATATTTTTTGTTTAGACCTCTTATATGTAAATCAAGGCTCTTTTTCAGAATTTTAATTAAAGGCATTTCACACAAAAAATAAAAAATTGTTATACTATTGAACACTAGGTAGGTACACTTACAATATTAAATAACTTATTCTAATTGTCTAGCCATGTATATTATGATTTAGCCAAATTGGTCATTGTGTTTTCCAAAGTTTACAATTTATAGAAATTTTGTTATTTTTCGTTAAATGCAATTTTTATTTTTATTTTATTAGGAATCACCTTCAGACTTCTTCCTCTAACTCAACGAGTTAGGGTATATTGTGCTATGAGGGTATTTAACATTTCAAGGTTAATGACCAAGATGGTCCCCCAACTATTGCTCCAGTATCATTTTGGTCCACCAACTAAAATTTTCATTTGAACCGTCCTTCAATTCTTTGTTTTGTATCAAGATGGTTCATTCATGATAGATTTCGTCACTTCTGATCACGCGATGGCCACGTGATTGAGTTTTGAAGGGTATATGCGACTTTTTGAGAAGCTATATCGTTCAGAAGCAAAATACCTACAGTTTGGTGGATGTTTCTCTCATTTTAGGCGATTACCATGGACTGAAAGGGTTTGATTTTGGGAATTGTTGAATTGGTCGATGCTGTAGTAGTGTGTGAGTCGTTGAATTGGTGAAGTTAGTGTGTAATTTCAATGTTAATTTTGGAGTTCGAATTTGGGAGTTTGGGTTAGGGTTTGATTTTGGGGATTTTGGGAAATTCACTACTTGTTGATAATGAAGTTCAAATTCCGTTCGGGTGGAAAGACTCCCAAATACAGTAAAGGCTTCTGTAATGCATTTTATGTTTTTTTTTTTTTTTTTGGAAATGGATGAGTTGTCCTTGTCTGGAAGTACGGTTTCTTTATGCGTAAAAGATTCCTTTTTCTGTGTTTGTGTTCAGCTTTTTGGTTGTTTTATGTATAAGGGTAAAGGAATCGTTTTCCTGTAAGTGGATTTGGCTTTTACTACATTGACTGTAGAGTGTAAGCTTTATTTTGTCTGAAATGTTGAATATGGGGTTTTTTTAAATGTTTGTGGTCCCTTGGTTGTCTGCTTTACATCCAACTCAGTAATTATTGTCCTTAACATTAACAACAAAACTATGACTTTAAATTAACATATGTTGTTTCAATTTTGTAGCTACCAATGGAATGTGCACTCTAGAATTACATCATGGGGGCTGGTGTGAAAACAGGGTTTATAAAAAGGGTAAGGTATGTTATTTGGACAATATTGTAGAGGATTTTTTGTCCTTGTTAGATTTACTGAAAATTGGGAAAGGTCTTGGGTATGATGTTGACATTTCTCAAGTTGAGCAAAGTTTGGAAATTAGGTGTAGAAATGTTGAGGGTGGACTGGAGTTTGTTACATCAGATGCTACAGTGGTTGAAATGGTTGGTCACATATCATCCAATAAGGTTATTGTGTTATACTATAGTGAGATTCAAGACTATGACTATGATGCAAATGGTGAGAATTGTAATGGAGATGTGACTCAGAATTACCAAGTGAAAGAGGTGGCTTATATTGAAAATGAGGAGACTTTTAAGAATGTTGGGACAAAAGTGGCAAATGAAGATGCGGTCAATGAGGTACCAAATGAAGATACAGGGGCAAAATTACCAAATGAAAATGAAGATGAGGATTCAGAAATTAAAGACAGTGATTATGAGTTCAGTGAAAATGAGGCAGAGGTCAGGCCAACTGTTGGAGATAATATAGCAGATGAGGAGACTAGTCATGGGGCTCCAGGAGAGGTGTCATCAGATGATGCTACCACATCAGAATTTGACACTAGAAGTGAGATTGAAGATGAGGGTAATAGTTGAAAAAAAGAAAAAACTGCCAAAGTTTAAGCAGTAAAGAAGAGATGTGGATTTGAAAAATCCTGAGTTTAGATTGGGAATGAAGTTTGCAAACAAAAAACTATTGATAGAGGCTATCAAGAAGCATGCAATTATACATGGTAGGGAAGTGAAATTGATAAATAACGATAAGAGACGAGTTCAGGCAAAATGTGTGGAAGGCTGTTCTTTCCAAGTACATGGATCAAAGATTGATATAGAGGAAGGGACATGGCAATAAAACTTTGAGCCTAGAACATCAGTGTGGAAGAGTAGACAAGCTTAGATATACCACATCAAACTGGCTTTATGACAGATATGCAAACAAGCTCAAGCGCAACTCAGAGTTTGATCTGAAATCATTTCAAGAACATGTGTTGGAAGATTACAAAATAAATGTCACAAAAATTCAAGTTTATAGGGCAAAGAGGCTGGCCAGAGATTTAATTGAAGGTACTTACAAAGAACAATATTCTAGGTTGTGGGATTATGCTTAAGAATTGAAAAATGCAAACAGGAGTAGTACAATGAAGATTAAAACTCAGGTTGTGAAGGGTAAGATAGTGTTTCAGAAGATATATGCGTGCTTGGCTGCTTGTAAGAAGGGATTTTTAGCGAGTTGCAGACCTGTTATTGGTGTTGATGGCTACCATTTGAAAGGGCCTTATCCTGGACAGATCTGTTGGGGTGGATGGGAACAGTGGTTATTTCCCAGTAGCTTATGTTGTGACTCTTGAATTTGGTTTTTCAATCTGCTTATTGAAGATTTAGGGATTTTACACATGAAAGAGCTTGGGTAGTCATTAGTGACAAACAGTAAGGACTTATACCTGCCATTGAGACAGTACTTCCTACTGCAGAACACAGGATGTGTGTGAAACACCTGTACAGTAACTTTAGGGCATCACATATTGATCTTGCTTTGAAACATATATTATGGGTTATAGCAAGAGCTACAATTGTGCCTTGGTAGGAGGCAAAAATGGAAAAAAATGAAAAATGAGGATGAGGAAGCTTGGAAGTGGTTGAAGATGAGACCTACAAAAAATTGGAGCAAAGAGTCACATTTTAAATGTAATCTTTTGTTGAATAATCTATGTAAAAATTTCAATGCAACCATACTAAACCAAACCATGATTACAAGGAGCCCCTTTGATCTTTCAACCATACAAATCCAAATACAATCTGTGTAGAATTTTCGAGAGAGTTCCTAAACCAAGCATTGAAAGTAGCATGTCCTTTCTTAGCCTAACTGTCCGCCGAATGATTTGTTTCTCTATTAGCATGAGTATCGTTGCATCACTATTCTACCAGAAAGCGTCATCTTAAAATAAAAACTACGGCAACTGCAGGGTTCTTAGGGATGGGCAAAGACAGAAATTTAAAAATTTATCATAATAAAGAGGATGAAAAAATAGAGAGAGATTGCTATATGCCAGTGATGGGTATCACTGTGCATGCATGAGTACGTGTAGATGATGCGTGGAGTATCACAGATTCACAGCTCAACAAATATTGGACAACCCAAAATGAAATAATCTTATAATACATCATAAAGGCAAGGCAAATCATGAAGCCTGACAGATTTCTGCACTTTATGACCTCACATCTTTTAGGACACCCCCCTTTTCAAGTTCGCCAACTAAATCCCTCAACGACGGCACTTTCATGGCTAAAGTCCTGTACAGCCTAGAATAACGAGCTCGCGTTCCATCTGCAGTCCTTGCCAAGGCAAGCAAGCTTAGAGCTTCAGGGAGTTGGGAGAATACATGTTTCATCTCCTCCAAGCTCATGCTTTCCAGAACAGATGGTCTTGGGACAACCCTCACAACCTCACCCCCTTTAGGTTCTTGAATCTTGGCATCTGCTTTAATGACTAGTTCTGAATTAGAGTTTGCTCCGCACTTGATGATAAATGGCGTTGTAGCGCCTGTATTGAACTGCAGGACGTTCCACTGTGCCACGTCAGTTTCAGTACCAAACCCTAAATCTGTAGATGGTTTGAGAGCATGAGATTGCTCCTGAAGGTGATCATCTTCTTCGGGAATAGACTGCAACATAGAGATGATTCAGGGGTGAAGTAAGAGATTAATAATAAACTGCATTGTCAGGCAAATGCACTAACACACCGAAAGCAAACTTAAAAACCAATTTTATACACAGTTACCCATCAATTTTACAAGAAGCACCCTTTGTGTTAAAAAGAAAAAAATAGCGTGTGTGTATACCCGCAGGGAAATATCTTCTAACCAGATTGTCTGGCAACATAAGATGCTTAGGTTTCCAGACAATGTCATTGGAGCATTGATCAGGTCAACTTTTTGACTGAATGTGTTCAAATTCAGTCTGGTAACATAAGTCTGACAAGAGAAAGTGTTAAGCATTTCACAGATACCTGGATCACATGACGAGCATCAGCAATTTGCCTTTGCGCACATGGATGATCAATGTCAAGAAGGGAAGGCATCCGTTCAGCAAGTTCATCTAGAGATGCAAGCATTTGCTTCTTCTTACTCTTGCTCAAGGTGCTCATAGAGGATTGTCTCACTATATCCTGTACAAGAAAAATGTATTACATTTTCTGGTTTCTCAAATTAGCAATAGCCCAATCATCAAATATCACCTGGAAAAAATAAAATGAAAAGGTGCAAAGAGGTAAACCTTGACTTGTTTCACTATGCCATCAAGGGAAATGAGAGATGCTAATCGTGCATCTTCAGCAGCAGTAGAAGGATTTTGAATAGGTGGGCCACCATCTTGCAATGTCAATAAGGCTACGTCACTTCTTATTTGTTGCAAAATCTGATGAAACCAAGAAATTAGCATAATATCCAACAATTGGTCCAAGAAGATAATAGAAACAAGGATCATTCCAGCCAACTTGTTCGTCACCACAGGAAATGGAAACATAAAAAGAAAAGAATTTTGACTTGCATGCCAGTGGATGGTTTATTGAATAACTTGTCAAACATAGGAACTCTGATACCTTTTATTTTTAAATCTATTTTTTCAGTTGAGAGACCTAGATATCAAGCCGAGGACACAGGAAACCTCTTTCAGACAAGAGAGATTCTATGCGTGATCTTTTAGAAACATAAATTTGAGATGTCATTAAACAAGAGGTCAACCATAGAAAACAAACAGGTTTAAAATGAAAAGGAGAAAGAAAGTACAGGCAAAATAACTTCCTGA